GTGCAAGTGCCCCCAGAGGCCAGATGAAGGCCTACTTCTTCTGGAACTACAGTCCCAGGTGATTGTGAGCCATCTAACATGGGTGCCAGGAACCGAATCCAGATCCTCTGCATGAGCAGAAGAACTTTTAACTAGTGAGCCATCTCTCTGACCAGAAAATACTTTTTTTTAATGTTTACATTTTTTATTTTTTAACATGACATTTTACCTTTTTAAACATTTTCATACATGAGTATTATTTTTACATAATTCCCATATCTGTCCCTTCCCTGTTTTAATTTTTCCCAGGACCCACTGCACACCCTTCTAAATGTATGACTTTGGTAATTACTGTTGCACATACAGATTGCACAAATATTATAAATACAACCCACTGAATCCTTCTAGTGTTGCTTTTATGTATGTGTTTAGGACTGACAACTTAAGATTGAATCACTTATCAAGGGGCCCATCCTTGAAGAAGTTTAATTCTCTCAATTTGCCATTAATTGCTCATAGCTCTTTCTTTAGAGGTGGGATTTTGTAAGAATTCCCACATCTACTTCAGGATGTCAACTGGTGTTGTCAATATGCAGGTCTTGTTTAGGTGACTATATTGTTAAGATTTCATGGGTGTGGTTCTCTGTCATATCTAAAAGACACCATCTAGTAAGTAGCCAGTGTTCAGAACCTTTGGCTCTTACATTCTGCAATGTTCCCTGAGCCCTAGGTGTTAGGTTATATTGAAGATATATCAGCTGGGTGTAGACACTCCATGGTCAGTTGTTCTCTGCATTATGGCTAGCTGTGGATTTCTGTGATGGTTTCTTTTGCAAAAAGATGCTGCCTTGATGAAGGTTAAGAGCTACACTTATCTGTGAAAATAAGAAAATACGTATTTAGAATGCAGTCGGATAGGAAGGAGGGAGTGAGAGGAAACTGAGAGTGATACGTAAAATAAGAAAAGTTCTATATATATATATATATCAGTCAGGCAATATACTGGTTCAGGAAAATTGCAGTAGTAGGTTCTCTGGAGTCTATGACATCACCAACCAAGAGTACTTGGATAGGTTTTCAGTACCAGGCTTGAATTCCCTCCTGTTGAACAGACCTTTAATCAAATGGGATAGCTGTTGGTTACTCCCAATATATAAATTCCACTGTTGCACCCTTTTGTATATCTGGCTATGTGCTAGTCATTGTTGTGGTTTCTAGGCCTTACAACCGGATGGGTCTAGTAATTGCTTTTCTCCCTTAGCGCCTTGGTATGCTCCTCAGGGAAGAGGCTTTCAGGTCAACTCCAGTTTCAAAAGCATTTTTCCATGCCTGGTAATAGGTTTTTTGTTTGTTGGTTGGTTGATTTTTTTTTTGTTTTGTTTTGTTTTTCTTTTTTTAGTTTATAGCTCTTAGAAATATATTGTTTTAATTTGAGTTTCCTGTTAATGAGTTTTTAAAATGAGGTATGAAATCACATCTTTTAATACACAGTTCATAGAATTTTGACAAATGGATCCACCCATTTAAGCCCCACCATAGTTAAGTCTTATCACCTCCAAATTTATTGAATTTCTTAAATTTTTAATTTTGGGGAGAGTCAGGGTCTCCAATATCCTGACTGACATTGAACTCCCTGTGTAGCTGAAGATGGACTTGAATTCCTGACCCTTCTTAGTCCAGCTCTCCACGAGTGATAGTATTATAGACTTGTAGATCATGTCTGGGGATTGACTCCAGGGCATCATGTATACTAGGCAAACATCCCATTGTACACTGAATAAAGAGATTAAGGAACTTTGAAAGAGAACGAAGTATCTGTTGCTATTATTGAGGCTGGCTACATTGACTTTTTTTTTTTTTTTCTGCCATGAAACAACATTTTTACTTAGAAGAACAATTGGCAAGCATTGTGGTCATTCAACTTAATATTCAGATTTTTTTTTTCCCATGAATGGCTAGAGTGAGTCTCTCATGTCCGTGAAACCAGTAAGTAGACAGTATTGTTGCTGATGACCCAGTTAAAAATTTCAAACAAAAGTTAAAATTGTAAAATTCTGTGTTTCCTACCATTGTCTTAACTACATTTCCTACCTAAGGACTTTAAGGACTTTTATTCTAGTGAGATCAGTGGTGTTGACATTCACAAATGTGATTTTTTTGTGTGACAAAAGCATAATATTACAAAATCATGTATGAACATTGATTCAAATGCAAGATACAATTAATTTCTAAGAAATAGAGTAGAAATAAAAGTCTTGTTATAGTTTCAGATGTTCTAATGCAATTAAACTTTTAAGAAATTATCATTTGGGGCTGGTGGGATTGCTCAGTTACACCAATATGAAGACCACAGTTTGGATCCTGGGACCCTTGTGAAAGATGGTGTTGCATCCATGTCCTGTAACCTGAGTACTAGGGGGCCAGAGATAGACTTCCCAGGCTCATTGGAATATTGAACTCTAGGGTCAGCCAGAAAGCATGTCTCCAAAGTAAGAAACAGTAGTGGAGAAAGACACTGGAACATCAACTTCAAATGTTGATGGAGAAATATATTCACATGTATACACCTATCTGTGGATGCATGAACAGATACACGCAAAACAACCACGCCTTGAACTTGGTATACTATCAAAGAGTAATATGTACAGGTATATAAAAGGTATTAAGTAAAATATGTTCTCTTCCCACTGTCTCTGTTGCTGGATTTCTTCTTACCCTTGCAATGAAGAGCATATTGAAAGATGAAATGCAGATGTAAGCTCAGCTGTGTTCTCTGTCAGTACAAGATTTTTAGTAATGTGAAATGGTGTTGCTTTCCTCTCTCTGTTTTTATTGTTGGAAAGTATAGTTCTTTTTCAGGAAACTGATTTATGTTAATGCATAAGGATAAATTAATGTTTTTTAGAAAAACAGGTAAATAATTTTTTAAACTCAAAATACACAATTAATACATTTGTAATTCCAAGGCAGCATTTTTCAGCATCTTCTAAGGGACTAGGAATGCAGGTGAGAGGTCCAAGGAGCTCTTATATAAGGACTATACCTGTAGGCAGCTTGGGAATGTGGCACAAGGAAAGAACTGGATGTTCCCAGGAGCAGGTGACTTAGCTTCATTGGACAGATGTTAATTTCTCTTAGACCAAGGCTCCGTTAATGCAAAATGAGGTAACAGAGCTACTTTGTTAACTTTAAATCATTGTTTGACTTATCTCTAGTTTTTGTATTAGATGTTAAAAATGAATGGTACACATGGCTAATTGGAACCATCCCTTTAAAAAGAGGTGGTAGTACCCAGAGTGGGAGCCCTCATCTGTAATCTCAGCACTTGGGAAATTGGAGGGATGAAGCTCATTGGGTTTAGGTTTATTGTTGGGCTACATAGTAAGTTTGAGGCCAGATAGTATACACAAGACCTTATCTTTTAAAAAAAAAAAAAAAAAAATTGGTAAAAGTATGGTTACATGTTATTTTCTGACTATAGAGTATTCTTTTCCCTTTATTTAAGCATTTTTAATGTTTAGTATGTGAGTGCTTACACATGTACCAGAGTTGTTTGTATGTAGGTCAGAGGACAACTTGTAGGTTGTTTTTGCCTTCTACTGGGACCTAGGGCTTGTAGGTCAGCAGGCTTAATGGCATGTGTCTTTACCTCTGGTGGGCCACCTCACTGGCCCTGCAGAGGGACCCCCCCCCCCAAAGCTTTTCCCCTTGAACCATCATACAAATTTTCAAGTGTATGCGTAAAGTTAAAACTTTGCAATTAGAAAAACGGCAAGATTGATTCAGAACACTCACTTGGGCACAAGACAGATGGTAATCCTATAAAAAGATGGCATATATTTTTGGGAGTGCAAACAGGAAAATAGATACTCTTTAAAAAAAAAAGTCTAGAGTAGTCTTTGCCGAGAAGATACAGGAAAGAGATTTAAAACATATGGCTTAATCGAGCTTCTACTTTCTAATATCTAGGATTGGATCATACCCCTTAATATTAGAATCGAGTTGCATATGCATTGGTAGCATTTTTCAAGTATATCTCATCTGTATAGATATGTGATAGTGGCAAGCAGGACTGTTGGAACCCCAGATTTAGTGAAGTTACCATCTCAGAATCAGCTATCAAGTCTGCTATCTGGGAGTTAGCCTCTATGCTTGAGACAAGACCATACATAGTGAGTTCACTCAGTGTACAACTTAATGTTTAAAGTAACTTGTGCTCCAAGTATTTATATGTTCTATTTTTATAGTATCTTTCAAAAAACAGTATATGACAGTGAGACTTAGAGGTGCTGGTGCTTTTTGTGGAGATGATGTAGCTGTTCTCCTGATAAACTTATGGTCTGAGATGGTCTGAGTGGTTTCAGTGAGCAGGATTCTGTCTATACAGCAACCACCTGCTGTCTGGAGTTAAAACTGAACCCTTGTCAGATTCTTTCCTTCCCTCAGTTCCCATCCGTGTTACCAGTGTGTGTGGATGGATTTGTTTTATAATTTACTGTCCATATATCTGTCTCTTCTACTGGCTTAAAATTGTAACTAGCATTCATGTTACAGCACTGTGTTGTGTGTATAGTAGTGGTTAGTAAATCAGAATGAGTTAGAGCGGCAGTTTTCTGCTATTCAACTGTGTTGCATTAAACTGTAGGTGAAAAGGTGTTACATTTCTTCTAGTCAGTCGGTGCCTTGAGGAGTATGAAGGGCCATAGAAAAGGCTGTGTGTCTCACAGTGCATGTATATATGTTTGAAGTGCCTTCTCTGTTTTGCTTCCCCAGCCTGGTGCATGGGTTCCTCAGACCTAGTGCTCAAAATAAGCCTGGTCAGACAGGAAAGAGATCTGTATAGGACACCCCCCCCCCAAAAAAAAAAGTGTATGGCAGGTAGTGATCCTAATCTTCAGGGTGACATTTCTACGAATAGATTTGGGCACCTGTTTTGAAGCTTAAAGAAACTTTCTGTTAAGTTTTATGTAAAAACGAAAATATTTATAACTTTTTAAACCTTTTAAAAATTCTTTTTTCAGAAAAAAGCTCCAGAGGTTAAATAAATGAAGCTGGGCACAGTTCATCCATGAGGTATTACAGCCCCTCCCGATGTTTGGGGATAGCTGCTACAGAGAAAAATTGACTGGTTTGGATTAGGTAACTAGTCACAATGAAGAAAATTAGTCTGAAAACCTTCCGGAAATCTTTCAACCTGAGTAAAAGCAAAGACGAAACCGAGTTCATGGTGGTTCAGCCCCAGTCCCTTCCTGGCGACTTCGTGAAAGATGACTCCTTATTCAGTAGCTGCTATGGCAAGGACATGGCCAGCTGTGACATTGGCAGTGAGGAGGAGAAAGGGAAGAGCAGGTCCAAAAGCGAGAGCCTGATGGGCACCTTGAAGAGGCGGTTGTCCACCAAGCAGAAGGGGAAGGGCAAGGGCGGCACTGCACCTCCAGATGAGGACACCTTCTCCTCGGCTTCAGCGCCTGGTGGCCTCAAGGATGTGCGTGCCCCACGGCCGATCCGCTCCACATCACTGCGCAGCCACCACTACAGCCCCACACCCTGGCCCCTGAGACCCACCAGCTCGGAGGAGACATGCATCAAGATGGAGATGCGGGTGAAGGCGCTGGTGCATGCTGCCAGCCCAGGCCCGGTCAACGGTGTGCGCAAGGAGCTGCGAGAGCTGCAGCCCAAGGAGCTGCGGGACCTGCAGCCGGAGCCACACCCTGAGTCCCGCTGCAGCCCTGGGTCGCCTGGGGACCTGCGCCTCCATCTGGAGGAACATGTGCCTGTAGTTATCGGACTCATGTCTCAGGACTACCTTCAGTACACCGTGCCTTTAGACGATGGCATGTGCCCTCTGGAAGGGCCACGCAGCTGCTGCCTGGACACGTCCTCGCCCATGGAGGTGTCAGCGGTTCCCCTGCCTGGGGCGAGCGCCTTCTCCGAAGACGACAGTCAGGTGGACCAGGACCTGGTTGTAGCCCCAGAGATTCTTGTGGATTCTTCGGTGAACAACTTGCTGATGGGCACTACAGGAGTCATGTTGCAGAGCCCTAGAGCAGGTCATGACGATGCCCCTCCCCTCTCACCATTGCTACCTCCAATGCAAAATAACCCAATCCAAAGGAACTTCAGCGGCCTCTCAGGCCCGGACATGCACATGGCTGAAAGCGTGCGCTGTCATTTGAATTTCGATCCCAACTCTGCACCTGGAGTTGCGAGAGTTTATGACTCAGTGCAGAGTAGTGGCCCCATGGTTGTGACAAGTCTTACGGAGGAGCTGAAGAAGCTTGCGAAACAGGGGTGGTACTGGGGCCCGATCACACGCTGGGAGGCAGAGGGGAAGCTGGCAAATGTGCCGGATGGTTCTTTTCTTGTTCGGGATAGTTCTGATGACCGTTACCTTTTAAGCCTGAGCTTTCGCTCCCATGGCAAAACACTTCACACTAGAATTGAGCACTCGAATGGTAGGTTCAGCTTTTATGAACAGCCAGATGTAGAAGGGCATACATCTATAGTTGACTTAATCGAGCATTCAATCAGGGACTCTGAAAATGGAGCATTTTGTTATTCAAGGTCTCGGTTGCCTGGATCTGCAACTTACCCGGTCAGACTGACCAATCCAGTGTCACGGTTCATGCAGGTACGCTCTCTGCAGTACCTGTGTCGCTTTGTTATACGTCAGTACACCAGAATAGACTTAATTCAGAAACTGCCTTTGCCAAACAAAATGAAGGATTATTTGCAGGAGAAGCACTACTGAGAGATTGGGAGCCCTGCTTCTAGCACTTTGGGGTTCAGAAACAAGACTGGAGTACAGTTTACAGACTTACATCGCCATTGAAGTCTTTGCTGCCATAACTATTTTAGTTTTTATGTGTGAAAGGGTCATCAATTTGTTCAGGGGTGGGGAAGTGTCTGCAAGGTGTCTTGAGTTTATTTTGATTCTTTGGAAAAGGATGTCTTGAAGATCTGGAAGTGTGAGTTATCTTTCTTTAATGTGCAGAATAATCACAATGTAATTGTTGGCTAGATCACACACACCTCCCAGGGTATCAGCTTCTCTTCTACTACCACTTTCTTAGTTACGTTCTTTATGTGTATTCAAGTTTTCTGGAGTTCGGGGAATTTGTTTCCTGGGTAAGAAAGGATTAGAAATTAGAGTATCAATTAGCTCCTCCAATTTTACTTCTTTTCCTTCAAAGAACTGTGGTGAATCATAGAGAACTACTCTGGTAATCTCCTCTACCAGACAACCTTGCTCTTTTTGGAATGGATCACTCTCTTTTCACTGGCAGAGATCCTCTGAATACACTAGTTTGTGTATTCTTTGCAATATCTGATAAAGGAGAGTCTTCCACATCAGATTATCCTTAACCCCCACCCAGTCCTTTGCTGCTATCCACTGTGATTCTTATGCATTAAAGCACATTTCATGTGTATTCAACCCTAACTAAAGTTGAATGAAAAATAAAGAACAAAAATTGCTATGCCCAATTGAATAGACATGTGGAATAAAACATATTACACATACACTGAAAAGTGATTTTTTTTTCAGTCTCACACTTTAAAAAAAGATTTATTCAGGATTATGAAGCGACATAATCTTGGTTAATGGAATGCAAATCTGCAATATATCTTGTATAACACTTTTCTAAATTATTTTTTAAGGATGTGATAATTGTTTTGGTTGTGAGAAGTTGAATTTTTCCATTACCTTCATTTCATATTGTGGTTTGTCTCTTTGATAAATGGCCTTACAGTAAAATTATAAACAAATATATACCCAATATAGAAATTGTTGCCTTTTCTGTCATTAAACTCGGGTTCAAATTGGCATAATTTAAAGCCCTGTAAAGCCCAAACCATTGTTAGAAAAGTGAGATAACCCTGGTTTCTTGTGTGCAGTGTGTGTGAGAATGAGAGAGATTGTTTCAGTTAAACGTTTTATCTATGATTACTTTAGTCAATACTTTCCTTCCATAAACTTGACAAGTTTCATAAATGAGTTGTATTTTCTTACATTAAAGTTTATATAAAGTTGTAAATTGATTTGAATAGAGAAGTTATTTTAAAGGTGACTTATCTTCTGTGTAGTTGTTACATTGATCTGGGTTTGACCATTCTGCCCCCAAAACAACAACCCTGAATGACATTGGTTAAGTATTTGGAAATTGTGATGCATTGTGTGAGGAAAACTGTAAAACCATATCAGATACTCAAAAATAATTTCTTGCTGTGATTGCCCTTTGAAAGTAGCATTTTGGTTTATGCTGATTTTGCTAATTCTTACATAACTTGGCATTTCTAGTTTTTTATCTTTGTGTTAGAGAATGATATGCCAGGTTTTAAGACTTTTTTTTTTTTTTTTTTTTTTTGTAATGTAGACTAAGTTCAGAGTTCTACAATGGTGTTATTAAAACTATTAAGTGGTAGTATTTAAAGATTGCCCCATTCACAAAGTGTTTCCAGCTACAGATGCTTAAAAAAAGAAATCACAAGAGTAAAGGTCTTAGGTCAAACTTTCTGGCTTTGTCATCCAAACATATCTATATCTTTACATTTTTCTCTATTTTTCTAGGGTTAGAATTGAGATATTGCAAGAAAAGGCACAGTGCCATTGTAGTATGGTATTAATGGCATTTTGACTTATAAGGATCAAGGTACTTACTTTTGATGAAATGGTGGTTGGACCTTGTTACAGAGAATTTCATTTTCTGATATGTTTTATCTAATATGACAGGATATGAAGTATACTGTAATAATACAAGCATTGATTATAAGCTATTGGAGTAAGAACTACTTCAGAGATGTAGGCTTGTTATCAAATTAATGCAAGACACTTAACTATTTTTTTGCAAAACTATTTATTTTTAAACAACTGAAGATATATCTAGGGTGAGTTGAATGTTCCTGCATCTGTTAGATGGCAGGTGTCACATAGTCACGGTATTGATGGTGAATGTCAAGATGGCTTCATGTCTTAGAAACATGCATATGTCCTTGAGATCATGGCTCAATAAAGTCTCTGAACTGTCCCCAACATGTCTTACATGAACATAGCGTGTTTCCTACTCTCTCATGGTGTCCTGTGTTTAGGACCTACCCATTAAACGTCAAGATTATTCTGATTTTCATTTAAATCTTTCTAATAATATATTTTGTGTTACTTTGTAGGGCAAATCTTTATTACATACAAACAACTTCTGATGAACTGTGTTTTCATACATAATATGACATGTCCTAATTCACTTTGAAATCATCAGTTTCTATTATTCTAAGGGGGGGGTGGAGAATCAACATGTATTGAGAAGCCAGATTCACAGCAAGTTGTATTGTCTGTTTTTGTGGTTTTGGAGCGAAGATATCAATTTGACAGAAGTGGAAAACAGTGGGAAATAGTGGCTTTGTAGGTCGCTATTAAAAATGTAAAAACAAAGAGTAAGTCCTTATATCTTGACTTAAATAGAAGTTGGTTAACTTTCTGGGTTTCTTAGATGATACAAACAACCTGTAAACCATTCTTAAATCTGCACATTTAAAATTCCTAGGCAAGAAAATAGAAAGCAGGAAAGCTGCATCTATTTGTAACAAGTTAAAAAAATTTTTTAACTCAAGTTTTTCACCACCGAACATGCTGGAAGCTGGAGGTTACTTGGGGGATTCCTAAGACACTTAACACATTTTTATAAATATAAAAGCTACAGAAAGTACTTGAAAAGTATCTTGTTTTCTCTAAGGAAAACTGTTTTCTTTCTACATGGTGCAATAATTTGAAACTTTAGGTCACATCACAGTGACCATGGAACTAAAAATAATTTTAAGGACACCAGCTACATAGGGCAGCCATCTTGCTGTTGAATAAAATCATGGCCAAAAAGGCTAACTCATTGGTATTAAGGAGATAAAACAAAGAATATGTCATAGTTTCTGAGCCAGTATTACTGAAACAGGACAAAAGTTATTGAAATCTTACAGGTTTATGCAGTTTCCTTCCTAGTGCTAAGTACTCTTAACTGCTTTCAGGAATGCCAACTTTACTGTACATTTCACATTTATATATGAAAGAAACTCTTTAGTTATGACAAAATAATATATTTTGACTTAAATCTGAATTTCTTTCATTGAATGTGAAGTGTTAATTAGAATGAAACGACACTACCAGCAATAGACAGTTTTGTTAAATATTCTTTAATGAAGAACAATAGCCAGTTCCACAAATAACTTTAAAATTCTAAAGGTATTGGTACGTTAACAATCAAAAAAATTGTTTCTTTTAATACTTTTTTAATCCTGAAAAGTTTTTATAACATCCTTTTCTATTGATCTGTCATAATATACAAGGCAAAACGTACTTTTTTTTTTTTTCTTTTTTTAAATTGACCCAAATTCTCCAACCGGAGAGGATGTGGAGGTCTTAGAATTTCCTAAAAATATGTATTCATGTTGGGGTAAAGGAGTCTCATAGTTGGTATGCTATGAAATTAAAACCTGCAATCGAGATTGCTGTAGTTTACACTTCGTATGTTTCAAATCAGGTGTGTACCATTTGTACTGAGAACACCACAGAATGAACTATCCAAAGTCCATTGATTTAATAAGTGTTTTGGTTTGTAAGCAAATTATAGTAACTTCTTGCACATTTTTTGGAAATCAATTGTATAAAAATTTATGTATCTGCTTCTAGATACAGTGTGTAAATAAAAGTTTCATTCACAACATCTGCCTTGTCATCTGTAACATCCAGGTGCAGGGTCTGACTTAATTAGTATAAGATTAACTGGAGAGTTTCTGTGTGTTTCATGAGATGAGCAGATACTGGAGGGTGGGAACAGTAGCATTTTAGTAAAAGGGGAAATGTGAAGTGTCTTTCAGGATGACCAACTAGGGATCAATTGAAGGTGCTTATAATCTGCAGTGGTTAGTACAATGGCTGAAGTGAGTTTCCAGACCTACTGAAAGACTAAAACTAGCTAAGTTACAAAAAGGGAGGTAGACTAAGTGATAAAAGGTTTGGATTGGGACATTAAAAAGCATCTCATTATTTAATAGTATTTTACCAGAAAAAAAAAAAATCTAAATAAGGAAGATTTCCAGTATCCACTGAATTTCATTGTCTGCTTGGTGTGTGTGTGTGTGTGTGTGTGTGTGTGTAAACACAACAGATGACATTGGATGTCCAATGTCACTACCTGTTACTTCTGTTTCTGAAAGCAGGATCTTTCTGTGAACTTGGAACTCAATTTTTCTTGGATAGGTCAGAAGCCAACAAGCCTCAAGTATCCTGTCTGTCCCCCTCAGGGCTGGGTTATAGTCATGTGTGGGCCAGCCACCCAGCTTGTTAAAAGAGTGCTGGTATCCGAACTCTGGTCTTCATTATGCAGCAACAACTCTTAACCACTGAGCAACTCTCCAGTCCTAGTTGTCTGCTTTTAAAGTTCCTGTCTTATTTTTCTCTAATAAAATACCCAAGCAAAGTCTGAGGAACAAAAGGTATTTGGGGCTTACAGTTCAGGGGATAGCTCATGTCAGGGAAGTTAAAACGGTGGGTACCCAAAGCAGCTGGTTATAGTAAATCCTCACCTCAAAGATCGATAAATGTTACCTCTGTTCAGTTCTACTTCTCCATTTAGTCCAGAATTCTGTCCAGGGAATGGTGGCACCCATATCCTAATCACGGTAATTTCCCACAGGTTTGCCCAGATGCTCAACTTCCTGCTGATTTCAGATTGCTTAACCACACTATCATGGCACCTGGGCATCTTGGGTTAAATATTGCTTGACTATCCCTCCCCCCAACATTATTTTAATGTAAAACCTTTAAAAATATAGCTAATTGAAAGATGAATTTCAATTTTACTAGCTGAGAAGTACTTTAAAGTAGAACCCAAATAATAGAGAGCTCTATCCAAAGTTTCTAGAGTTTATTCAGTTGATAACATTGATGTGATGGGATCGATGAAAAACTGTGATGGGGTTGATTTGAGACTGGAATGGACAGGCCTCAGCCATTGTATGATAGAGCAGACTGAGAACCTGTTGACATGTGCAGATGGACAGGTTTTTAAAATGTGGCCCAGATGCCAATTTTTCTTGACTATAATACGTAAACATTGCATGAAGACAGCACTTAGCACTTCTCTGTGCCTTCATTTCTTTCTTCTTACGATAGAGTACCCTGACAAATGCAATTGAAGGGAGGAAAGGATGCCTTCTGACTTGTGTTTCAAAGGTGTGGTCTCTCATGGTCACAACATCGGGAACCTGAAGCAGCTGGTCCCATGAATCCACAGTCAGAAAGCAGAGTGATGGATGCTTCTGCGCAGCTCTTTCTCCTTACACGGTCTAGAACCCAGGCCCAGGGAATGGCACTGCCTACTTTTAGGAGCATCTTCCCACCTCAGTTTAATCAAGATAATCCCTTATAGGCAAGCTCAGAACTAAATCACCCATGGAGGCCTGTTTCCTGGTTTGTCCTGTTGACACTTCACACTAATTAATCATCATGCCTTCTTTTCCCGATCATTATCTTATTTGTTAATAACATCACTGGGAAGTTAAAATAAAATTCTAAAATTCTCTACGACAAGGCTTAAGTCATATCAAATCCCAAGATTTAATAAAATCCAAATAACAAGTAGCTTCCTGGTACAGCTTAGCCAAGAATAGTTGTTGCATTTAATGCCCTGCAGGGCAGACATCCAAGACAAGACTGAACTTTTATTGGCCCAAAGATCATCACGAGAGCACATGACCTGTTTGTTTCTTGGGTGTCTTATCCAGGGCATGTCCCTATAGGAGCATAGTGAAACTTACTACCAGCCCAGCTTTTGATTCTAGCAATTTCAGGGCCTTAGAGAAAAACAAGAGAGTCCTTCTCTAAGAAAATGGATGGCTATCGTCAGTACAGCAAATACAGTAAAATTATGTAGACCTCCATGAGTCCTTCGGCCTCATGGGCAGTGCTCATGACAACACAGAGCTTTTCAGACTGTGTATGAGTCGGGCTGGGACCCAGGCCTGTAGGTCCAAGGATCTCAGATGCAGCCCAGGCAGTGTTCAGTAGTGACAGCATACCAGGAAAACGTATCTTCAGAGTTGAACACTTCACAGTTATTTTGAACACTTTAGATTTCTCTTTTTTAAGTGAATTACTGACTTTTTTTTTAAAGTGCAGTTTTATTACAGAAAGGGGAGGGGGGAGGAGAGGAAAGAGAAAAGAGGTAAAGAGATACGGAGACAGAGAGTGGACAGAAGAGAAGAAGACAGGAAAAGTCCTGTCTAGCCCAGGGGAACCATGGGGTAAGAGAGCAGAAAGAGCAAATTACTGTATTTTTTGTACATTTTAAATTTTAAAAAAGTTTCCCCCTTCCCTCCAGCCCTTTCCAACCCTTCCATGTTCTCTCCTTCACTCTCATATTGATAGCATCTTCCCAGATTGTTATAGGCACGTGCATACGTGTGCGTATATACGCACACACACATATATGTGTACACAAATATATAAACACAACTTGCTTTTATCTTTCTTTCTGATGGTCATTTGTTCTACCCCATAGAAGAATGGGGTTGGGTTGTAGTGAGATATCCAACGCCCACACCTGTTGCACTGACCACGCCCATTGGGGTGTGGAGACAGGATCAGGGGTGACCTGGGGGTTCTAGGTCTGAGGTCCTGGCCCCCCAGCTCACTCTCTTGCTTCCTGGTCAGAGACAGAGGGTATCCGGAGGCATCCTTGGGACAGAAACCTGCAGCGGTCATCAGTTTCTGGTGTAAGTGATCTCTCCCCGAATAAACATCCATCAGCCTATCGTTTCCCAGATTTTTATTTATCCAAGCTATAGTGGGGAGCTTTGCTGAGGAGCAGGATGGTGTCCTTAAAGGTCTTCCCGTCTCTGTTAGGGTTAGAGTAGCGAAGAAGGCCCCAGGATGAAGGATCTGGTGCTACAATAGCTGCTAACTCACTGAAAGCATCGGTCTGGCCTTGGGATGCTTCATTAATAGCTGATTTCATTTCCTCCCACCTTCAAATTCTTAACTCCTTGCCTGAGCTCCAGGTCCAGGTGCTTGCTTTCTTTTATGAGGCTTTTTAACTTCTAAATAAAAAATAGTTAACCTTTCAGTTGAATTTGTCTTCACCTGAAGACAAATTTTGGGCTCCAGTGACTTTTTAAATTTATCTTTCTTTAAAATCTTTGCCCTGGGTCTGGAGAGATGGCCCAGCCTACCCTACCTATTCTTTAAAGGGCTCACTGCTCCTCAGATACTCTGTGTTTTGTTCTTGCTGCATACTTGGGCAGCTCACAGCTATTTTTAACCAAAGCACCAAGGGACTCCTCTGTTAGACTACGTTACCAGGTAAGTCCCCCCCCCCCCCCGGTCATTTGTGCCTTTGAAGTGCCAGTTTGGTGTGTGAATATAGCGGTCTATACTTAGATAATTCAGTTTTTACAGGAAGATCAGTCATGAACCCATGTTTGAGTATGATTTTAGCTGGACATGGGACTCAGGAAGATCAGAAGCCCAATATCATTTTCTGCTTGCATACCATGTTCAAGGTTAGCCTATGCTATCTAAGGGACCTTTGGCTTTGAAAAAAGGTTAGGGTTAGGGTTAGTTCATGGGAGAAGTCAAATCAAGGCCTTCTGGAAGTGCTGAGACCTGACCCTGACAAAGTAAGAACCAGTAGCATCTCTAAGCACAGGTAAATTTGTATGTGTGTGTGCATGCACTCATGAGTTCAGGTGTTTGTGTGTGTGTGTGTGTGTGTGTGTGTGTGCATGCATATATGTTGCATGTTTGAAAGCCAGAGGTTACCAGAATGTCCTCCTTAGTGGCTTCTCCGCCTCATTTTTTTGAGAGAGGGTCTCTCCCCAAAATTGAGCTTTCTGTGTCAGCTTAGAATGACTACTTATTAAGCCCCAGAGATCTATCCATTTTCACCCTTCAGTACTGGTGTTACAAGGTACGGCTGCTGTACCCAGATTTTTATGTGGGTGCTGGGGATGGAAATTCAGTGCCTACCCACTGAGCTATCTCTCAGCCCCTACAGCTGAGTTTTGTAGCCGTGTTCCTCTATTTTTGTACAAGACTGCACTCTTCCCTACTTGGAACCATGAAGCCTGACCAGCATTCCTGGAAGATAGGAGTGTCCTCTAGGGAATGCCTCCCTTGGATTAGAAACATTATGAAGAATAGTGGAAGACTTCGGTATAGAACCAGGCCCAAAAGCCAACTGCAGCATGGGTCCTAGGCAAGGACAGGGAGGTGTCTATTGATAGAAGGTAGCTCTGATCTTAGCTGTAGTCCCCACCTCCCCGGCTCTTTAACCTAGTCTCTAGCTTTGTTTATGTATCTCTGGACTTTCCCCACTTTCTCCTAGTTAAATGTTTAGTTTTAATGATATTTTTGCATGTTATATATGACTCTACAGCTGGTATCTTGATGAGGTAAAGCTTGTGGGCAAACCCATGCCATGACCAAGAAGGTATTTCTATTGCTTTCAGTGATTATCTGAGTGGACATATCTACTCTGGTATGGAAGTCATTCCTGTGGTGATTTGATTTCAGTGTATTCTTAACCACCCTCCATCAAGGACTTTGCTGACTGTAATCCAGTTTTGTCCTTGTTGTCCTGAAATACTATTGTTTATTTTCTATAACATTGACACACGTAATTCCAACATAAAACAAACTTTCCTTTTACAAGCAAACAAAAAG